TGATTTGTGTCATTTCCCTTCAGTCGATGTGGATGTTTTCCCTTTCCAGTCGAGCTGATGTTTTTCCCTCTTAATATTTGACCTATTCGGATCTGTTTGCGGACTATTGCCTTTACTCTCCTCTATATAATAAAATATACTTTCGGTCCACTTGTTTGGAGTAAAAAGTTACGTCTCTGATCAAATCCCCCAAACCTCTCATAACACGTGGTTGATGCAGTGAAGTGTAAACTCCCAGGGACATGGCTGGTCCAAGTGCTGGGACCCCACTGAGCAAGGCTCTTACACAGAGCAACACCAGGAAGATGCAGTGAAGATAAAGCACCAAAAAATATGAGAAGATGAAGAGAGAATACTTCCCGCCTCATCTTACAAAGCCAGGATCACCCTGACACCAAACCCAACAAAGATGTCACAAGAGAAGAAAACTACAGACCAATATCTTTTATGAATATAGATGTAGAATTGCTCAACTGAATACTAGCAAATCGAATCCAGCAACATATAAAAAGGACCAAGCGGGATTTATCCCAAGAATGCAAGATCGATGTAACATATGAAAATCAATCAATGTCATATGCCATACTAATAGAATAAAGGACAAAATCAAATGATCGTCTCAACAGACACAGAAAAAAATAGTCAACAAACCTGGAACAGAAGGGACCACCCTCAAACTGATAAAGACCATCTACGAAACACCCTCGGCTACTACACTCAATGGTGAGAGACTGAAAGCTCTCCCTTTGATCAGGAACAACATCAGGATGTCCTCTCTCACCACTTGTACTCAACATTTTACTGGAGCCTCTGGCCATAGCAACTAGGTGAGAACATGGAATAAAAGGAATCCAGATTGGAAAGGAAGAAGTAAAACTATCTCTAGCCTCAGATGACATGATCTTATGTAGAGAAAATCCTAAGGAATCCACACACAAAAAATTAGAACTAACAAGCCAGTTTAGAAGAGGTGCAGGATACAAGAGCAAAATACAAAAATCAATTGTATTTCTGTACACTAGCAATAAACTACCCAGAAATGAAATTAAGAAAAGAATTCTGCCTACATAGCATCAAAAAGAATAAATTTATGTATAAATATATTCAGAATAAATTTACCAAAAGAAATGCAAAACTTGTACACTGAAAACTACTAAACATCATTGAAAAAGTTAAAGAAGGTCTAAGTAAGTGGAAAGACACCCCACCTTCATAGACTGGAAAACTTAACATCGTCAAGATGGCAATACTCGGGCCGGCCCCGTGGCTTGGCGGTTGGGTGCGCGCGCTCTGCTGCTGGCTGCCCGGGTTCGGATCCCGGGAGCGCATTGACGCGCCGCTTCTCCGGCCATGCTGAGGCAGCGTCCCGCATACAGCAACTAGAGGGATGTGCAACTATGACATACAACTATCTACTGGGGCTTTGGGGAAAATAAATAAATAAATAAATAAAAATTAAAAGATGGCAATACTCCCCAAATTGGTCTGCAGATTCAGTGCAATCCCTATCAAAATCCCAGCTGCCTATTTTGCAGAAATTATCAAGTTGATCCTAAAATTCATATGGAGATGCAAGGGACCCAGAGGGGCCAAAACAATCTCGACAAAGAACAAAGTTGGAGGACTTACACTTTCTGATTTCTAAACTGACTGTAAAGCTACAGGAATCAAGACAGTGTGTTACTGAAATAAGAACAGACATATAGAGCAATGGAATAGAATTGAGGCTCCAAAATTATGGGGAAATAATTTTTGAAAATTTATGGCTAATTTACATTTATGGACAATTGATTTTTTAGAAATAGCCTTTATTTTTTAGAGCAGTTTTAGGTTCACAACACAATTGATCAGAAGATGGAGTTCCCATATACCCCCAGCCCCTACACATGCACAGCCTCCCCCAATATCAACATCCCCCACCAGATTGGTACATTTGTTATAATTGATGAACCTTCATTGACACGTCATTATCACTTGAAGGGGAGTTTGTCATAAAATGTCCAGTCCAAAAGGCCTTTGTCATCTCAACTTTCCTTGCTTGTTAGTGCTGGAAAAATCCCATTCCAGTAGTGCTGCCCAGTGTCAGAGATTAGTGGGTCTGTAACTGGAGGCGTCCCTCACTTTCACAGGAGACCAGAAACACCGTTTTCACTACACCATCCTTACCGCCCGTCAATGAAGGTGTTTACTCTCTCTATGTTGGGTGGCAAACTTTTGGATCATGGGGGCTACATGATTGGTGCCCTCCCCAGGGACTCCTCTTGCATCCATGGTAAAGGTTTATTCTAAGCCTGGAAAGTTATCTCCAGGTCTTTTCTTAAAAAGGCCCATTGGGTTGAGTCACTGTTGGAATAAATATACGAATGGAGATCCTTGTCAATGGCCAGACAATGGATCTTTTGAATTGGAAAAACTTCTATATTTGAAAACTATTTTAGAGAGCTCTCATCACAAGCAGCTGCCTTATTGCTATTTATGGGAAGATCAAATTGAAAAGCAAACCCTGAAAAATATAATGGTTAGCCTTAGGAAATCTCTTAATAAAATGAAAGAACAGAAGTCAGACTTAGAACAAAGATTAAAAAGCAAATTTGATGAAAATTCTCCTCCTCCCTCCTATACTCTATTATACCCTCAGCTCCCTGTCCCTGACTCCCCAGAAGATCTGTTGGATCTCTGGGCCCCTGGCTTAAACTCTCCCTCTCAAGATTTAGCTCCTCAGCCAGCTCCTCAGCCAGTTCTTTGTCCACCCAATTTTTAAGCCTGCCTTTATCCCTGACTGATGTTATTAACTATCAGGCAAATGCCCCACAATCTGAAAAAGACAACTAGATACAAAAGGGCACCAAACAATGGTCAGATGGATTAGACACTGGACCAAAGTGACTTCCTGTAGCTCCTTTTCTTTTGACTTTTTGGCTTGCACTTATCTCCCACCAAATGGGACATATGTGCAGACAGGGGACAGTTAAGGAACAAAAAGACAATTGGTTTTGCCCTGGCATCCCCAAAACTTCTGACCCAATTATTTCCCAGTGTACTCCTTGCCAATTGCACGAAGTTTCTGGGAGAAATCAGTGTACCCCAGGAAGCCCTCCCAGGCCCACACTGCCCTTTGCGGCACTCCAAATGCACTTTATAGAACTGCCCACAGCATTAGGCTATTCTCACTGCTTGGTTATCATCTGCATGGTGAGTGGACAGAATGAACGCTATCTGACTGACATGCAGATGCCACAACAGTGGTAAAGAAATTAATGACTGAGGTTATTCCTTGTTTCGGCATTCATTTATGGATTGAATAAGACCAAGGAGCTCATTTTGCAGCAGAAACCACTTCCTTGCAGAAACTGTGGGGGTACTCACTAAAATTTCATACCCCATATCATCCTCAATCATCAGGGCAAGTGGAATGTAAAAATCTAGACATCAAAAGGACTTTAGACAAGGTCTGTCAAGAAACTGGACTTAAATGGCCAGAAGTTCTGCCCTTGGCCCTTAAAAGATCCAAAATACTCCAAATAGGAGGCATAGGTTGACTTCTTTTGAAATAGGTTTTGGACACCCAATGCCTACTGGCATCACTAAACCTTCCATTCCTAGATTAGGTGAATATTATGAGAATTTAGGTGAACTATTTGATGCTATGACTGGCTATAGACAAAAATTAACAGGTATACTTGAAGCATATCATCAACGGGTAAAAGAGGCGTGGCCCCACCTTCTGACAGGGCTTGCCATCTCTTCGGACCAGGAGATCAGTTGTACGTCCAGGTCTCAGAAGAAAAAAATGCCCTGTCACCTAGCTGGGAAGGACCTTATGAAGTCCTACTGACCACCTACACTGCCATGAAAATAACGGAAACATCTTTTGGATGTTTGGATCTCTGCAAGCCATGGCAAAATAGACCCAGAACATCACTCTCAAGACAACTGGGAGACAGTCCCCACAGGTGACCTTCAACTAAGGATTTCCAGTTTAAGGATTTCCTTAAACTAAGGCCCATTCCCAGGCCCCAGAAGTAGCTAGCCTCATGGAGTAGACAGGTTTTTTTCAAGATCATGGTTGAAGAATCCTCACTTTCACCAATTTCCCCCCTTACTTTTAAAACTCCCTACACACACACACACACACACACACACACACAGACACAGATACAAACACACACATACATACACATATAACCCTTTTCTTATTAATGACTATACATATGCCTTATAATCATTCATTAGAAAGCTGACTGGAGAGTGCTGGTTTCTATCTGTCTACTTCCCCTCTGTAAGTTTCCACTACGGGCTCTTTTCCAATCTGTGTCTTGCTCTTACTAACCCTCTCTTTTTTTTTTTTTTTTTAAAGATTTTATTTATTTTATTTTTTCCCCCCAAAGCCCCAGTGGATAGTTGTATGTCGTAGCTGCACATCCTTCTAGTTGCTGCATGCGGGACTCGGCCTCAGGATGAACGGAGAAGTGGCGCCTCGATGCGCACCCGGGATCCGAACCCGGGCCACCAGCATCGCAGCGCGCGCACTTAACCACCAAGCCACAGGGCCGGCCCTAACCCTCTCTTTCTCAACAGGTAAAGCACACCAAACTCTCCCTTCTGCCAGTTTACCAAACCCTGGCCACACCAACTAATCAATCTGACTGTTGGTTACATCAACAGCTAGAGAGCACAAAAGAACCTGAACTAGTCTCTGTTCCTGCTGATGTGAACACCTGGTGGACTAAGTACGGAAGATGGATGAACGACAGGGTATGGCATCCACGACAAGGAAAACATCACTCTGCCTCTTCTTCTGGTGAGTCACTTGGGCCCCAGAAAACCTCTGGAGAAGCTCAAGGACTGTCCTTTGCCCAGATAAAGACAATAGGTGAAAATTGTTCCCTTTGCATTGAAAGTAAATGTGACACTGGACCTCTCCTGGTGATGTAGCAGGACAATATTGCAATCAAATCCTGTGGTTTGATTTCACAGGTGGCATCTTCAAGCCTCTTGAGGAAATTGTAAGGGACAGTAACACTACTCCCTTTGGCACAAACATTTGCCAAATCACCAAATGTTCTGGATGGCTTATGAGCCACCCTTGTACAACTTGGGGTATTGCAGCTGCCCACGTGGTTAAGGTGCCCAATACCACAAACTATACAGGTGGGTCAAAAACCTGTTCTCACTTGATCAGGTGACAGGACCAGGCTTTATAGCTGTCAAAATCAGAATGCAGGCCTCCTGTACCAGCTATTCCACAACGTGTTCTACTCTCCCAGGTTGACAGGAGTGCATGGAAAATGGAGATGCTTAGGCACTAACAGTACCAGTGGCAAATGTCATGGAATACACCAGACCTGGGGAACTACAGGTTCAGTTCTAACCTCATCTGTAAACCACTCTGGTCTTTTTATTTTATGTGGCAACAAAGTACATAAAGTATTCCCAGCTAATTGATCAGGATGATGTGGACTTGGATACCTGGCCCCTTCTGTCACCAGATACTCCACCCTAAATGCCAGCCACATTGCAAACTTGGGTTCCTTTGTTCATAAGATTGTGCCACATAAAGGTGCCAGTTGAGAAATCATACAGAATACGCTTGTGTATCACAACTCCAAGTTCTTTTCAGCATCAACATTCTTATTCCAAAGCTTTGGAAATTACAAGTTGGAAAAGGTGATCTTAAATCTCTCCATGGTAATGGAACAAGAGTTCAGCATCACATGCAAACTTTGAAAATGCTCCAGTCACAGAGGAACAGCCTGGCCTGTGTGGCCCTCCACAATCGACCTGCTCGGGACACACTGAGGAGGAGCTTATGCAGTCACTGGGGACAAAGGTGGCTTTATGTGAACCAAAGAGGCAAGTAGTGTCTAACTTACATCTATTCAAAGAGATGATTGACATTTTCCATCAGATAAACGAAGCTCACACATTTTACTGGACTGACTTATTCCCAGGACTAGGAAACTGGTTTAACGGGGTGTGAGGAGATGTGCTCTGATCCCTTCCTTTCTGCTTGTTCATCCTCATTCTAATCTGTGTTCTTTTCTCCCTTTGCAGATTTTTTACCACTTGCCTACTAACTCATTTTCTCTCTCCACAGTCACAGCTCAGCTTTTAATATATGAAACTTCCAGGGAGGTTTCACAGAAGGGAACTGATGGGGTTGAGGGCAGGTCACCCCAAGATGTGCCACTCTGGTATGTGGATTATTTCAAGGTGAAGACAATCAAGGCTCAGAAGACACTGGAAGAACATTTGACCTTCCCCCAAATTGCCTACAAGAATTTAAGATAGAAGGGCCTGTCCCAGGAAGGAGCTCTTAGCATGGATAATTCTAGGTGTGGTAGGAGGAAGGCATCTAGGAAGGGCCATTTTATCAAAGGATCTCTTCTGGGTCCCATTGTCTATAGATGTCTCAGCAAACATTTATTTATCAAATAGAAACTCTTTTCATCTTTCTGTAAATTGCCTTCTCCGGCTTTGAAATCTCAGACCTCTATCTCCCTCTCCTTAGTCCAGAAGGACATATATACGTCGTTTTGCCTGACTGTCTTTGGAATTCTTCATGCTTGTGTGAATTCTGTATTACATGTATTAAGCTTTGTTTGGTTATCTCCTTCTAACCTGCCCTAAGTCATTTTTAATTCTTTGACCAGCCATAAGAACCAGAAGAGGAAAAGGGGGGGTTGGAATTCTCCCTCTTCCCCTACACCTTCCATTTGTAAAAAATGCAATACCTGCAAAGAGCAGTAAAACAAGATATGCTTGTAATAGGTGTTGTGACTTTGTCAAATTAGCATTTGTTAAGTAGAAACCTGGGGGTATTGGATGGTGAGCCTGAGTTCAACAACAGACCACTGTGGGAGATCAAGATTTGGCCACCCTGAAATATATCTCTTTACCTTGATTGTTTTCTCTGAGGGACATTTGACCTCCCCCACTACCTGCCTAAAGAATTTGACATAGTAACTCCTTCCTGGAACAGATCTTCTATCTGATGGCTGTAATATAATGTAAAATAGATGTTACAATAGAAAAAGCATCAACAAGCCCATCTGATGTCTCTCTGACCACATTCTCTGGATGGCCCTGCAAGGAGTTGCCAGACAAACATTTACATTTATAAGAGAAGTCTCCATTTGTAAAGGTATCTCCCTCTCTGTATTGGGAAGAGGGGGGATGAGCTCATTTCTAGTAACTTATCAATGTGAAAGGTGAGGCCTTAAATCTGCATAATGACCTTACTCTTGTTTACTGTGCTTTAGTGATAATATCCTGTAACTGACTCCCCCCACCCCCAACATCCTCCTTTGGCTGAACATGGTATTTAAGACGAGAATTTCTGCTATTGTGTTGAGAAACGCAGTGTCTCTGCTTTCTCCCATGTATACATGATATTAAACTTGGTATTATTTTCTCCTGCTAACCTGTCTTGTTGATTATTTGGCCGGCCGTAAGAACCTTAAGGAAAAGGGCAGAGGGAGATTCTCTCTCTCTCCCGACACCACCAAGGAATTGAAATAGAGAAGTCTGTTACTCACACGTCCTGGAGAAGGTCCACAGCACACCTTGAGGGGCCACACTGGGAGGTTAGGGCAGAGTACAGGCAGAGAGCAGGGCAGGACCTGGGGCATATGCCTTCACTGGGGTCCACAGGCAGAGTGCCTTGGGGCTCCCAAGCTAAGTCTGGATTTGTCAATTCAAACCAAAAGGAGGTTTTGGTAAGCTTCGCAGGGGTCTTATCTAAGGGGTGCACAGGGGAAGGCCCTGGGAGTGGGGGAGAATGCCTCTCACAAGGGCAGTGGCGGGAGTCATATCAGGAATTGACATTTACTTGTGACTCTGCTGGTGGTTATCTAGGGTGTGCACTCTCAGGAGGGGCTAGTGTCACTTCAAAGCCCCTGCAGGCCTCTTGGCCACACAAAATGGATGCCGAGGCAGCAATGCTGTGGAGTAGTTTAGCTAAACTCCCAAGAAACTCGTACAAAAAAACGTAGGAGTAAATCATCCTGGCTGCAGATTAGGCAATGGCTTCTTTCTTTCCTTTATTTTTTATTTTTGTTGAGGTAACATTGGTTTATAACATTGTATAGGTTTCAGGTGTACAAAATTATAATTTGACATCTGTATATACTACAGCGTGCTCACCACCACAAGTGTAGTTTCCATCCATCACCATATAATTAAACCTCTTTACCCGTTTTGCCCTCCCCCAATGGTTTCTTTAAATATGACACCAAAAGTCCAATCAACAAAAGAAAAATACAGATAAATTGGACTTCATCAAAATTAAAAACTTGTGTGCTTCAAAGAATACCATCAAGAAAGTGAAATGAGAATAATCCATGGAAGAGGAGAAAATATTTGCAAATCATATATCTGATAAGGGGTTTGTATCCAGAATATATAAAGAACACTTACAACTTAACCATAAAAAGATAATTAGCCCAATTCAAAAATGGGCAAGGGATTTGAATAGACATTCCTTCAAAGAAGATAAACAAATGTCCAATAAGCATGTGGAAAGATTTTTGACATCATTACTCATTGGGGAAATGCAAATCCAAACCACAGTGTGATGCACTGCCTAGGATGGCTACAGTCAAAAGTCAGAGAAGAGCAAGTGTTGAAGATGATGTGCGGCTCACACACTGCTGGTGGGAATGTAAGATGGTGCAGCTGTCTTGGAAAACCATTGGGCAGTTCCTTAAAATGCCAAACATGAAGTTAGTGGATGATCCACTCATTTTGCCCATAGGTATATACCCAAGCCATGAAAACATGTGTCCACACAAAAAACCTCATGTGAATTTTCATAGCAGCAGTATTCACATTAGTCCCAAAGTGGAAGCAAACCAAATGTCCACCAACTCATGACGGCAAATAAAATGTGAAATTTCCACACAATGAAATATTATTTGAGCATAAGAATGAACAAAGTGGTGACACACCGTTGATGAATCTTGAGAACACTATGCTAAGTGAAAGAAGCCAGTTACAAAAGACCACATATTGTATGAAATGTCCAGAATAGGCAAATCCACAGAGACGGTAGATTAGTGGTTGCCAGGGGCTGGGGGGAGAGGGGAATGGGAAGTGACTGCTAATAGGTACAGAGTTTCTTTTTGGGGTGATGAAAATGTTCTGAAATTCGATAGTTATTATGGTTGCACAATTCTGTGGGTATACTACAACCCACTGAAGTGTACATTTTTAGTTGGTGTGTATTATGGTATGTGAATAAAGTTGTTATCAAAATAAAAGATAAAGTACCAAACTATTTCCAAGAAAGAACTCCAGGGACAGGAAGGGCTGAGTGCCCAACAGAGATGAAGCCTGGTAAACAGAGGAACAGAGTAAGAAGTTCTTGTTGAGAACCTGAGACCAGCGTTTCCCCCAAGCTGGCCCCTTGTGTGTTACCTATTTGAGGTTGTGAAATGTGAAACAAAACAGAGTCACTTATGTCTAAGGGCTTTAAAATGGAGCTGGGAAGCCATGAAGGAGAGGGGTCTTATGCACGTCCTCATCCAGCAGGACATGGACTTTTGAACTGAGTAATGTTGCAAGAAACTTGCAGCTTATCACAGTGATGGACTTTTGCCTTTCTCTAGCTAGCCTTAGCAGTCAATTACTTTTAGCCAAGATTAGTTTTCTACCTTCAACTCCAATTAACACTGTTTGTAATGCAAACCTCCCTTCTGTGCCTTTAAAGCCCCTGACTTTTACTCCCTAGCAGGACACTATTTATGTTTCTACCTGAATCTGTGATCCCTGAATTGCAATTCTCTGACCCCAAATAAACACCTCTCTGCCTGTCATTTTGGCTCTTTATTTTTAGGTTAACATACGTGGGGTCAGAAGGCAGGACCTGAAGTGATCTCACCTTCATGGACGGGCCTCCCCTGGAACTGGGTATGGTACCTATGATACTGAACCTCTTAATATCAAGTTCCTGTGCCCAATGTGCAGTAAGCCAATCACTGAGGCATTGATGCTTGGAGATAGAGAA